CCAGCAGGATGAGGTGTTCCCCTGACCTGTGTTAGAAACAAAGAAAGTGTGGAAAGCATTGACTGATGGTTGTGGGAGCTTCTCATCTCAACTGCAAAGGGAAAGTTCACTGAGAAAATGAGGCACTTCTGCATCATTTTTAATACAGATATATATTTAATAATTAATAAAAATAAAATAACAATATATAATAATATATAATAAATAAATAAAAATTACAAATAATAAATTAAAATGGAAATAAATTTAAACTAAAATTTTTTATTTAAAATTTTATTATCAAAGGTTGTTTTAAATTTCCTTAAACTTCACAACATTTTTAGCAGGGGTTGATCTAGCCATTGCTGCCAGTCAGGTTCCAGGAGAAATATCTCCAAAACCCACATTCAGTTGCACCTGGATCATGCAAAGTGCAGCTGGAAAACACCAAAGTTCTCTTTTTTTCTATTAGCTTTGGGAGTTGCTGTGATCTGTGACAGGGTTTGTGGAGGGAACTTCATGACTTATTCACCTTCACACACCATCTCAAGGAATTTCAACTCCCGGGATTAGGATTGGTGGGAGGGGGATGTTATCACAAGCCCCTCTTTCTCTGAGGATTGTACCCACAGCAGAATATCCAAGGGCCCAGATTTCTCTGGGAGTTGGCAGAGCAGCAGCAGCTTCCCTGCAGGGTGACAGAAGGTGACAGAAATCACTGCAGGGAGCTCTGTTGGGAGAACTGACCCCTTTAATCCCAGCACTGCTGCAGGTTGGGGATTTTAGAACCCCAGGAAAGGCCCTGAGCTCCTCCTGTGCCACAGGATCCAGCAAAGGACAGGGAAATGGGAATCCAGGAATCTTCCTCCTGTCACCACAGGTTTGTGGGAAATACCATCAACATTAGTTATAATTTTGAGGGCAGAAGAAGTGGTCCTCAGAGCACAAGGGGCTTTTTCTTTTCTGCTGTGAAGGAAGGTCTGGAAATTCATCCTGATTCTTGGTTTTGTTTGGGTACATTCTCCAAATATTCCTGCAGTTAATCCCTGGGAATTCTATGGAGCTGTATCAGCTTTGTGGATCTGTCAGAGGGCAGGATTAGATGGGATACTGGGAAGAAATTCCTCCCTGTGAAGGCAGGGAGACCCTGGCACAGAGTGCCCAGAGAAGCTGTGGCTGCCCCATCCCTGGGAGTGTCCAAGGCCTGGCTGGATCAAAGGAGCAAACCAGGCTGGTGGAAGGTGTCCCTTTCCATTTTTTTTTCACTCTCACAGCTCACATCCCATTTTTAATCCATAATAATCCCCAGATATTTGCACAGCTGCCCCATGCCCCGTAGTTCTGCTGAGCTCCTGCTGCAGGTCCCTGCCCGTGTTTATTCTGCCCCTCTTCCTCTGAAACATCTCCATGCACAGCTCATCCCTCACAGCCTGGTTTTATCTGCAAATGTAAGCAAAATCTGTTCAATCCGAGGTCCAGGGAAATCTTGGATAGTGCTGGCTCACACAGACTCCCGTGGAATCACACTTGGTGCAACACCCTGGCTTGAGAGAGAACAATTCCCGGCTCCTCTCCCAGCGTGTCTCCCTCCAATCAGCCTCACAAGGATGTTGTGATTGCTCTGTGATGAGATAATTTTCTCAAAACAAGCACAATAAACTCAAATTATCCAGTTAAGGTTACACTTCAAAGACGTTCAAACATGGATAAGTGGGAAGCACGGAATCCGCAGAGCCAGATCAGGCTTTTTTTCACAGCTCAGTTACTTTTTTAGGCACAAAATATTGCAGAACATGTGGGTTTGTTTTTAAAGAAAGCACAAGTTGGCAGCAGAGCCACAAAAATACTTCTCATCCCTTTTGGTACAATTTAGGGCAATCTGAAGAGCTTGAAGTCTTTTCCTCCCTGACTATGGGTGGATTATTTGGATGTGCAGCATTGCCTTGGAATTTCTTGAATTTGTCACACACACAACAACATCCCTGTGGAGGTTTTTAACCCTCCCCAACTGGTCTGTCCTTTCAGTCTGAACTCTGCTTAAATATATATTTAAGGCAATCTTTTTGTTGGAAAATTCCATTTGCACCCGGATATCAAGTGACAGGCCCTGTAATGTGCTGTACAAACACAATCCCCCCAAAGAGAGCACTTTGCTCATCTCCAGGTGAGCAGATTTCAGATTTTAATTATTTAAGATTCCCCTTCCAGAAGGTCTCCCAGCCCTGGGAGAAGCTGTGGAAGCCTGGAGCCCTGGATGGCTGCTTTCCCTTTCCCATCTCCATCCCCAGTCACCCTTCTCCACAAAAAAAAAGAATGCACATCCCCTCACTTCCTTCTCCTCTTTAACAGCTCCACATTTAAATGATGCCCCCATAGAGATGTAAATAATAACACTGCCATTTAGAACAATTTTCTGCAAACCCCACCACAGGCACGAACAAAGGCTCCCTGGGATGCTCTTCCCAATTTCCCTTCGATTTTCCACCTTAGCTGAAACAAAAAGAATGAAAACAGTTAAATCTCCAATATCTGTGGGCTTTTTGAAAATTTTTTGTGTGTGCAAAGTCTTGGTCGTTCAGGAGGTCATTCAGGGACCTGGGGAGGGAATGTGAGGATATTCATTATCTCTGTAGAAGAGAAGCACAGGTGAAACATCAGTTTGGAAGTTTAACAGAAAATAAATCCACAAGCTTGGTGATGAGCAGGTGGGATTCTGTGCAGGTCCTGGGTTTGTCATTCCCAGCCTGGATCACAGAATGTGCTGTTGGAAGGGACCCACAAGGAGCATCCAGTCCAACCCTCAGCCCTGCACAGAACCATCCCCAAGAGTCACCCCCTGTGCCCCAGAGGATCATCCAAAC